GTTGCTCTGGTTACCACAGACTGCATCTTTTCATCAACGGTGGTCACTATAGAGTATCTGCAACGCCAAAGTGAATTGTTTCACTTCAAAGAATCGAATTAGCAATTCTTGGTATCTGAATCAAGTATTTAGGTGAAAAGGATATGAGGATTCTTCCAGCTTCAGACAGTTTCTTCTACTCCTGCAGCATATTGCTGTCCTGAATTTCAGACTTCAGATAATTTCATTAATGACACTGATTTACTACTCTTAGTGAAGCAAACAATTGTTTATTTTGAGTTTCGGTTGAGTTCATCTCACAGATACACTAAACAAAGACTGGCATTGGAGTAGAAGAAATTGTCAGAGTTATATTTTTGTATAACGTTTTCAACTGACAAACTCTTATCTAATGAACTGATAAGTTTTTAAAGAAATTGTAATTCGAAAACTTGAATAACTCAGTTGGCCTTTTCCTTAGCGTAGATGGCTAAGTGGTGGTAGGCCAGCCGATCACACGAGAGGTTCGAATTTGACTCTCATCCAACACATTGCCAAACCTCGCCCAATCGGTAGTAGTAGGCCTAGAAAAGTGGGAAAGCTGAGTGGAAATCTAGCGACCCCACCATGTAAAACTAAATCACCGCCACCAAAACCTCGAAGGTTGAAACTACATTATCCCTTTGGAACACCACAAGAATGAAAATAAAGTAGAGTTTAAAATACTGGCTACAATAAGTGAAAAATTCAAGAACAAGATCAACAGTCAACACAGGAATGAATACCTCAACAGATAAAACCTATCCTGGAGCTAAGTTGGTTCCCGCTAATCCGACAATATGCTCTGTGGTACATTGAAAGCTTGGCAGATGCACCCGCTGATACTTACTCGAAATGTGCACACAAATTTACAAGTATCTGTGAAGGCAGTCATATTGGGAGAACAAAAAGAACGGCACAACTACGATTTTCCAAAGATGTATCCAAAAGTTTCCACATCAAGAGAGCAAACGCTCACAGTAATCACACTGCCAGACATTTCATACATACGAATCATCAGATAGACATCACAAATTCCTTTAAAATTATTCATTGACAAAATAGTTCAATTCTCCTCAAGTGCGATAAAGTATTCGTTGCTATCAGACATCAGGAACACGACGTAGGTAGTTATAAAGAAGGCAATGATGAGTGTTTCCTTGCCCTGAGAACTGCACGTATTTGTGGTTGCCTTCATTTGACTACGTAAACTTTGACTCAGGCCACTCCTTACTTTGATATGGTGTAAATTTACTTGTTTACTTTAGTTGTTGTTTAAGCTGAACTCATCACATTATTGCTCAATTCATTAGTTACTCATCATCATATTCACGTGTTGTCTTTAATGCGTAGCCCCCTTATCAGTGTATTAAAGTGTTTGATTCTTTTCAAACTTGAACTTCCATGGTGTACCTAGATAAGTGTGATATCTGAGCATTGTTCACAAGGTTTGTAATCTCGTGTCATTAGCTGACATCATGTACCATTTTCAGGTCTGTTAGAATTGTTTTGTGAACAAATATAATAATTTCTTTAGGTTCTAGGCAGTTTAGTGGAATCCTGTCGAAGTAGATGATTTTACCATGTTATTCTGTACTAACTGCCGCTCTTGCGATATTCAAGTTCATACAGGGGAATAAGTGTATGGTAAACATTTGCTTAATCTAATAAGCATAGGGGGCTCAGATTTATTTTGCAGTGAAACCTGGGTTTTCCAAGCGTTTCATTTCTGTCACAGTTTGCCACGCATTGTTAGTTGTTTGACAGTTCAGTGCAAGATATATACAACTTTGTCACAAACTAAATAGAAGGATATATTTTAACAGCGCTCGGCATGAAAAATAAGATCCGGATTTTCAACCGCAAAGCGAAGTCAGTCAGTGCTACTTCACATGGGTTGGAGACTTGGCGGCGCATCACGAAGGCCAATTCAAACAAACTACACACTTTCAACAACAGCTAACTGTCTTCGCTCAATACTACTCAAGATCAGATGGACAGACAGAAAATATCACCAACAAGCATTTCTGGCATTGAGTGAACTAACCAGTAACCAACTGTGCAACAAATATGCAGGATGAGCATACTCTGAGGAAACAAATCATCAAGTTACATACATCACAGGTGAGGTCATTGATCGAGTGAAAACCGATGGAATAGGAATCGGCGAGTTGGTCGTCAGTGTGAGGGTGACAATGTGGAGGAGGTCATGTGAAGAGGAGATGAAAGCATGTGTGCAGATTTGGAGCCAGGTGAAGACTCTAGCAGAGAACTAAACGCAATGGGGACGCACGGCTGAAGCCCTATGTTCCACTAGGAATTAAAGAAAACAATAATATATAATAATCAGATACGGAAGAATTCTATTTCCTTGACCATGTGTTCTGGAAAAAACCTTGCAGATTAGATGCTTTCAATTACTTTGTCGTATACAACCTTAAGTTCGTCTTCAACCAGATCTTATCAACAACTAACTCTTATCTTATAGCTGAATGTCTTAACCCAATTTCTTTTATACAAATCCGTCAAAATATGTGTATGGGGAGTAAAAATACTTTTCTTATGCGAATTCCCTTTCATACTGTATTCGCTGATGAAATAAATATCTTAATCATTTAAGGTGGCGTAAATTGTCAGACGGTTGTTGTCGGACAGTTAGGAACAATTGTTCGGTAACTTGTAAAAACATAGTCCAAAGCACAGATCAATGCCCCATATTATGTCCATTCTTCTTAACTCTTTCCGCATTCATATCACCAGCTATTCTACTAGTGTTCACATCATGCATATTTAGAGATTCGTAATTTAGACAAATAAAATAGTAGGGGGAAAAGAGCAAACAAATCATTAAATAGTGCAATTCTGGCTCATCTAGTGGATAGCGAACACAGCATCAAAGTAAGTGAGTCATTTACAGTTGTGTATCGAGTACCAAACAATCTCCCCAAAGGCACACGATTACTCCTCCTAGCCATAGCTGAGGCTTTAGAGATTAATAGAGAAAGACCAGACTTATGTGCACAGAAAAAACTTATTCACTCTCTCTGTCTACCCTGGCCCACTATAAGGTCACCAGGATCATAATTTTCCGTATTATTATTACCATTATTATCATTTTGTGATATCATGTCTTTATTATCCATTTCTCCACCCAGTTTATTTCACCTCATTGTTAGCCTTAATTTTGTCAACCTTTGTGATTTTATACTAAGCCTACCAATTCTGTAACATCTTATTACAATTTAGCCTCTTTATTTTATCATTAAACATTATCGGTCAGCCCTCACATTCAGTGTTCCCTTTGTTAATGTGTTTGTATGCATTTTGTGTTTATCGCATTTCTCTCACCCCAATGACACTTGTGTTCTGTTGACTATAAAACAGCACTATATCACCCAACTGCTCATTCACACTTCATCACAATTTTTCTTACTATACACCCTATACACATTTGATTGTCTATGCTAACTAATGCACTATCATCTCAACTTATACATGCACCCCAATACAGTTTCTAATATTATTTTCATTTGCCTTTATTTGCTATATGTACTCTATTATTCATGGATTTATAACTGTAGAGCCTGAAGAAGAAGAAGTTATCGGAAACAATCGTTCGCTCAAAATCTTGTTTTGATTAAAATAGTAGCCTTAAGTCTGAAGTCGACAGTTAGTCATCCCCAGTCAGTGTTGATTTTACCTTTGAATTTTGCTGCAACAAAAACTCGTATCCATGATAAATCCTGCTTTCTTTTTCACTGATTTATAAAAAAAATAATGATTACAAAGTGAAATCACTGAGAGAACCATCGAACACCAGGAATTCCTGTACTGTCGTTTCGTCCTTGTTTGTGACTCTTCATCAGCATGCGCAATGCTGGAAATCAAACGCACATGGAAGGGTATCACTTTTTAAGTTCAGTGAACAGCAAAGAAACACTCCTTCAATTCGTTTATTTACAAGAAGAATATATACACCCCAAAGATAATCCGTAGCTCACTCTAACAATTATCGTAACCTTAACACACTAACTTTTACCTTACCCAGATGATCCTCGATAGTGAGGACAACAGAGGCCTACATGTAGTGGATTATTCTTAAAAATTAAAGATAAATTATTTATTATTATTGTTTCCAATAATTCCTAGAGGAACATAGGGCTTCAGCCGTGCGTCTCCACTGCGTTCGGTTCTCTGCTAGAGTTTTCACCTGGCTGCAAATCTGTCCACACGTTTTCATTTCCTCTTCACATCACTTCCTCCAAGTCACCCATGCACTGACGACACACTCGCTGCTTCCCTTTCGGCTAGGTTCCACTCGAGCAATGGCTTGTCTAGTGATGTCACTTGATGGTTTCCTCAGAGTATGGCCAGTCATTCCATCTCCATTTCTTCCTGCCTATTTGTTTCACAATCGGTTCCTGCTGCGTTGGTTCGCTCATTGCCAGAGATCTCTGTTGCTGATCTTTTCTGGCCTGGCCATTCGATCTTGAATATTGAGTGAAGACAGATAGCTGTTAATGAAGGTCTGTGGTTTGTTTGAGATGCTCTTTATGACGCGCAGTGCAAGTCTCTGATCCGTACAGTGAGTAGCACTGACTTCACATTGAAGTTGAAAATCCGGATCCTATCCATATTTATTAATGGAGACATCTACTTATAATTGTGCATGTTACCGATTTCAGTATTTCCACCTCGTTTCTATCCTTCTTTCTTCATGTTGCAAAAAACTATAGGGTGTAATTGTAATTGTTTACCTACAATGTCTATTTCCCTCTCTCTATTTAGGCGTAAATAAATATATTCTGTTTCTCCGTTTCAACCAACCCATTAATTTATCATCTATTTAGTCAGCCCCAGGCTTAAATACTATTCATTCTCACTCATCAATATATGATTGGTTGAAATGTTTGTTTAAAAAAAATAATTCAGGAACAACAAAATATAAACCAAATGAAATTAAAGACACCTACAAATGGAATGTGTACAGACAGGATAATAATAATAATAATAATTTTTGTTTAAATTCGAAAAGTAACACATTTTAAAACGATTTGACTTTTTCTCTCAGTATCACTAAAACACTTCTCATCATTGTGAAGCACAATACAAATACAACTCCCTGTTTTGACAACTGTACAACTCTAATCAAGTATCACACTCAACGCCAAGCTACTCAGGAGTCTACAAAAAAATTACAATGAGAAATGGAATACTACTACTACTCATTACTATAGCTGAATTCTCCTATTTATCGATCATCTCCTATGTTCATTGCAGCCTAATTTCTCCAAATTATACCATTCATGGAAGTAATAAAACAACAACAACAACAACAAGTCACGGAAACGAGCACACTAGTCAACATAATAGTGATATAGTTGTAGCGAAATGGGAATTCGCTGACTTTGAAATACACATCGCTGTTATGCTCTTTTTATTAATTATGATACTTATTAAAATGTCATATCATCGGGTACCTTATATATCTGCTTATATTCCAGAATCATTTGTCCTCATTGTCATCGGGATTATCTTCGGTTCAGTGGTTCGCTATGGGATTGAAAAAGGCGTGACTAAGAAAACTGTATGGAAGTTAACACCATCGCTGTTCTTCACGTATTTACTACCACCGATAGTTTTAGAATCAGCGTATAGTTTATATAATAGAACATTTTCTGAATATCTTGGAGTTGTCCTCCTGTTCGCTGTACTTGGTACAATATTTAATTTTTTAATTATTGGATTTATGATGCATATTTTATGCCAATTGGGTGCATTTGGACAACCTCAGTTGGATTTCGATGTGAAAGGATTCCTACTGTTCAGTTCGCTGATTGTTGCTGTTGATCCTGTTGCTGTGTTGGCCATCTTTCAAGATATTGGCGTGGAATTAGGCTTATATTATATTGTATTTGGTGAGTCATTGTTAAATGATGCCGTGACTGTTGTCCTCTATGATATTATGGATGCATTCACAGGGAAAGAATATGTATCCGGTAAAGAGATTGGTATTGGGATAGCATCGTTTTTTACAGTGAGTCTTGGTGGACTAATAATTGGTGTTCTATTCGGAATTATCACATGTTTAATAACCAGGATCAAGAGTCGTCTTAATGCTTTCACATTATTACTGCTGGCATATTTCTCCTATATCATGGCTGATTGTGTCGGCTGGTCAGGGATTATTTCAATGATTGGTTGTGGACTGGTTCAAGCTGCCTATGCCTTTCATAACCTGGATCGGCATTCAGTTACAATGGTCAGGAATTTAACCAAAGTTGTCTCTGAGATGAGTGAGTCTGTCATCTTTTTATTTCTAGGCATTGAAGTAGTCTCTACAAAACTTGTCTGGCATACAGGTTATATACTTTGGGCATTAGTATGGTGTCTGATAGCTCGTGCTGTTGTTGTCTTCCTAATGACAGCTGTGATTAATCGTGTCGCTTTTTCTCAAACAAAAATAAGCTTTACACAACAGATAGTGCTTATCTATGGTGGACTGAGAGGTGCTGTAGCCTTTTCGCTGGCCATCCTAATTATCCCGAGTAAACTAGGCCCGAATGGTGTTTATAATCGTGAATTGATTGTTACTGCTACACTCTTCATTATTCTATTCACTGTTGGTTTTATGGGGATAACAATGAAACCGTTAGTTAAACTGTTAAAAATACGCATGGAAGCAAAACAAAAACTCAGCCTTTTCGATTCATTAAATGATGGAATCTTTGATGAAACACTTGCCGGGATTGAAAGTCTTGTCGGTTCAAAAGGTCGTAATCTTATGCGCGATTTTATCCTACGTGTCGATGAGAAATATCTACGTAGATTTCTTCAGCGTGAACCGGATACATATGATCAAAAAATGCTGAAAGTCTACGAGAAGATTGCCCTCAAACTTCATTATGCTACAATGCGTCCAAGTAAAACTGAAACTATCTTAAAAGATATACCAGAAACACTGAAATATCGATTTTTAACTTCACATGTTTCAACAGTTTCAATACCTGGACTATTAAGTGCCAACTGTTCCATGGTAAATCTGCCTAATGCGAATAAATTGGCTATCCCAAATAATTTGCCTAAAATGTCTATGGAAGTAACAAAAGCTACAGAATCTCCAATAAGTGGAACAACACGTCGACGATCATCAACGATAACTACAGATACAAATTTAGCGCCAGAAGTGAAACAATTCCTTCGATATGCACGTAGGCCGAGTTTAGCACCGAAAGAGAAACGACAACTTGATTTCGATGAAGCCTTTTTAGATGTTATGAAATCACGTAGTCGTGCTTTAAAGCATCATATTCAACAGCCTAATCTAGAACGGATTAAACTTCCAGTGAATGGAGCCAATAATCAAGCCTACATGAATGAAGACGAGGAATTAGTGAATAAATTGAAAACACTTCATGAAGATGAAGCTGATGAATATGCAGAAAAATCCGTGGACAGTATTGATTTAGGCAAAATGGTGAAATTCGATGTTGGACCGACTGAATCTATCTATCTAAAAAAAGGAATTCATGATAATGATGATAGTCATGATAAGGACCATGATGCTGATGAAGAAGATGGAAATTGTCATCGTCTTTAGATGAATGTCTGCTGGTTGTTTTGTAGGCAGACTTGATTATGTGGTGACAACTGTTTCAGCATTCTCTCTTTCCTACAACTCACTTTCAGTGCTTCCATTTGAGTATTTCAGAACCAAAACCAAAATACGATACAGATTGTCTGACATATTATGAATGTTTTAACCATTTTGCCTAAATATTATGTTTGTCGTTTTGTTAACAATCAGCTGGAATGTCATTTCAGTTCATATCAAATATTGTCCAATTTTTTTAGTCATTTTATTTATTTGTCTACGATAAAATCTGTCGGATTAGAATGTAGATATGCACCATTGCTAGCACACATACATACACACACACGCATAAAATAGCACATTAACGAAGTATACATCATTACTACAGTTCATGCTCACTTTTCAATTATACTTACCGCATTCAAATAATTAATTGTACATAAAATCGATTGATAAATTAAAACAAAACTAAATTAAACTATGGTTGTCTCTTTCAACTTTTTGAAAAGAAGGCAAATATATATATTTTTAATTATTTTTTATTCTATACATATAATTTTTTTCTAGATTAAGTTTTTTTCTGAAAAAATGTAGACTTTCACCTATATATATATATCATTTTTATTTCATTTATCTGCTTCAATCCACTATTGAACATTGAATGATGATTGACAAGTATTGTGTATGTATTATACAATATTGAATAATTCGAAGACTTTTTTATTTAGAAAAATTAAATTACAAACAAATTACATATCTACTTGAAATGGTGACCTTTTTTGTTTTGTTTTTGGTTTATTACAAAATTGGAAAGCGCTTGTGCATTGTGTTTTGAATATATAGATTACTGTATGAAAAATATTAATTTTGAAAGTGTATTTGATGGTGTGTGACAGAGGACAGTGGAATTCTAGACGCTGACGTTGAACCTATCACTTGGCATAAAGTTATCATTACCAGCCTAACTGTACATCCTGAAGTTATGAATGTTGAATCGCTAGTAAGATATATGTGCAAACCAGTTGTATATTAATATCATGACACACTAATTATCTGAGACGTGAATCAATAAATCCTTGCTTCCATCAGTTCATCGTATATACCCTGCCCACCATCCGATGTCACTATCGAGGAATACCCTCACCACCAAATTAATACATCTCTCTGTCATCATGACTTCTCTCCGAAACTCCAGACAGCCTCGTTCCACAGTCAGACACTAAGAAGCATCAGAGTATTTTTCAAACGCTAGCTTGCACGGCTTCCAATGATTTTGATTTGAATCATGAAATTCAACACAGAAGTAGATGAATGTGAATGCGCAGAGTATCTTTCTCCTCTAAAAGAAAATACGCCTAATTGTTGTGAATATTGCGAGAGAATTAAAATCATTATTCATCGAATTTTGGCTGCTTCCAGTATGTCATTGAATGGGAAATACACCTAACACTTGTCAAGACTGCATCGTATTACGTATTTTAGAACTTGGTCTTACCTGCTTCTCTGAATTCCTGTGATTTACAGCACTGAGACATCTCTTAACGTAAGTGTTAGATGTGTTTCCCGATAAGTGACATGCTGGAAGCAGCCACAATTCAATGAATAATGGTTTTAATTCTCTCTCATTATTCACAATAATTAGGCGTATTTTTTTCTTTTAGACAAGAAAGATACTTTGCGCATTCACACTCATTTACTTCTGTGTTGAATTTCATGATTCAAATCAAAATCAGTGGAAGCCTTGCAAGCTAGCGTTTGAAAAAATAATCTGATGCTACTTAGTGTCTGACTGTGGGACGAGACTGTCTGTAGTTTTGGAGAGAAGTCATGATGCCATAGAGATGTATTAATTTGGTGATGAAGGTGTTTCTTCGATTGTGACATTGGCTGGTAATCATGGTATATACGATGAACTGATGAAAGTTAGAATTAATTGATTCACATCTCAGATATGATATGATATACAGCTGATTCGCACATATAGCTTACTAGCGATTCAACATTCATGCATTCAGGGTGGTAATAATAACTTTCAGTGAAGTGATAGTTTCAACGTCAGAGTCTAGAATTCCACTGTCAATTTGAACGGGCGTTTATTTAAGATCTCTATTCCCTAATATATAGAACAATTTTTTTATGTGTTAAACAAAATCAAGAGATCCCACATTAGTTTGTTCAATAGATATATATCAAAGTGTGTGAAACAGTGTTATTGTTCACTGGATGACGTTTTGAACACAATTTGTTACTGCTCAAAATCATATCAACTTTAATCGCGCAACTTCGAAACTTCAGTTTAAAGTCTTCTTTGTTCTATCTTATCTGTTGTAGTAGAGGTAGTACAATTTTCCAGATATCGCAGACAGGTGTTGAATCATTCCTATTCCTGATTCGACAAAGAAAGCTTCTGTTGTCAATCTCTCCCTCAATCCTGTTACATTAGATTTTAAAACTGTCATCTAATTCCATCCAGCCTATTGTATGGTTGTGTGTAATTGCATGTAGTGAGTGGTATAGCTGAACTATTCTCTAGATTTCCTATCTTATTCGGGTCATCTAATCTACATTTCGCTAGGTTTTTAGTCTCAGCTAATCTGACTGCACCTGTTCTACTACCTTGACCTATGTATTTGACCTGACAATCAGTGCAGGCAGGGTATTAGATAAACCAAATTGTTTTGTTTTGAGGGCTCCACAAGATCCTTTAACCGACAAAGCTTGTTTCTAATTGAGTTAATGCGTCTGAATGTCACTTTTATTCCTGTCGGCAATATTAGGAATTCCGCGTAAGGTTTCTGATGTTCCTTCTTGGTATGGAATTACTTGCGCATGTTTGACATGCGTGTCGTCACTACTATTATTATTATTATCACTGTCACTACTATCATTATTTATTTTATTTTTACATTTCCCTACATACTTTCTGACTAATTTATCAGGGTAATCATTGAGTTTCAAAGCTTCCCTTACATGCCTGACATCCTGTCTTAGATTTTCCTTGGTACTACTTAGATTTTGTGCTCTGTCATTTAAACATTTCACTAATCCTATTTTTTACTGACATAGGATGGGATGATCGGAAGTCTAAATATCTGTTTGGATGTGTGGGTTTCCTCTAAACACTAGTGTTTAACTTCCCATCTTCTTTTCTTTCTACGCTACAGTCTAACATTAGACGCTTCCCTTCCTGACTTTCCAATTCATAAGTGAATTGAATTACCTCCACCTTTGAGTTAATGTGTTCGAAAAATCGAAAATCTGTCATTCTGTAAATAATACTGTTTCACAGACTGCATGATACATCTTATAACCAAACTAATATGGAATTATTTAATACCACAGTACCCAAGTCTTACACATATATTAAAATCGAGAGAATTTTGTATTTTAGTATGATCCTTACCTTCATGTATTTCAATCAGTATATTCCCCCAGTGGAAACCAAGGAACTCTTGACAGCTCATCAGTTTTAATTTGTTACTCGTCAGCACACACATGACGGAGATCAAATCCAAGACTTTCAGGCAACGAGTTGACGATTTTCAGCATTCGCTTATTGAATTCAAGGCGTGTGACTCATGAAATCTAAATTATTGATTTAATGCATGACATGAAATCACTACGCACTCTCAGCATTATTGATGACGAGTTCCTTCACATAAATACTGATACGAATTTAGTTTTTCTTGATTACAACACAAATTTTGGTTGGTTTCAAGGATTAGTTTTGTTTTGACGATTTAATCACAGATTGATATCAGTTAGAGAACTATTTGAAACTAACCAGGGAGTATGCTGTTTCGCCAGCATTGTTTGGGAATCTTCAGCAGTACTCACTCACGCCATGGAGTTCAAACCTAGTACCTTCCGGTTACAAGGCAAGCTCGTTTACCATTAAGTCACTGAGACCCGATTCAACGGCCAGCCAAGCCATGAATTCTAACTTCTACCAATCCGTGATTAAGCACGACTGGCACCAACCACTGTCATCATTGTGACATCCATCCTCACACTTAACTGATTGCACCTCACTCTTGAAAATTAATCTGATGATCACCAGTGACTTGATACAGGACGGAGTTTGTTGGAGTTCTGGTGAGAAGTTGTGATCAGGGATGTCTATCCAGTTAAGTGTGAGGATGGATGTCCCACCGACATCTTTGGTTGTAGCAAGTCGCGGTAAATCACGAATTTGTAGAATTTGGAATAAATGAGCTGGCTAGCCATTAGATCGGCTCCCAGTGGATGAATATTATATGAGCTTGCCTTGAGTAATTAGTTCGTGAACTTCAAACTAATAGGTGCAGTTGAAATGTTCAGCCAGTGAATCAATACTCGCTGATGTTGGTGACTGGTGTTCACGGATTGGGCCAGCGGATTCCCTTCCACTGGTTGTAAGGTCGATAATCGTATCCCGTGTGTAATAAAGGACCTAGTTTCGATACTTAACCCTGATTGCTTACTGCTGAAGAATTGCCGACTGGAACAAAGCACTAGTCCAGTACTGCCCGGCTTTCAGCGATTCTCAAACCACCACCCCCTTTCCGTGCTCCAACTTGATTGAAATCAATCAAATTCAAGTAGATCTTCGGGTTGAAAATTATAAGAGGAATATATTTTTAACGCTTAACGAAGAGATGTGTTAGGTTCGAACCCATAGTCACCTAGTCATTCGCTAGACACTGATTCAAATCACACTGTGACCTAGAATACCGATCAGTTCATGTAATCGGCGTACTGCCAATGATTCCTAAACAAGCCTAGTGAAACAGTTGTCCATTAATCCCTGATTGGTTTTCAATGGTTCTCTAAGTGATATCAATCCGTGATCAACTCGTAAAAACAAACCTAATCCTTACGAATCAACTATAGAAAAAAAACATATATATACGTTTCGACAGCGCGCTTTTTAAAATTATTTATCTTTCAATGATATGAATAAATCTAATTTCTAGAAAAACGTTGAACAGTATTTTTTTCTCAGTACTGCTTTCCTACCTTTCCTTAATTTTAATCAATTCCCAGTTGATGAAATTCATTTTTTTCTCCCTGTCTATTAATTTACGCTTCAAATAAACCAAATACAGCGAAACAATATTGCTACTTACTTACTTACTTACTGGACAATATTTCAAAAAAATAAGAATTGGTTGGAGGGTATTCATCATGATAAGCTGACATCAGTAAGTGAACCATTGGAAAATCAGCGCTGGAGCACTGGATAGCTAGCTGTTTCGTCAGCCTAGTATGTGACTCTTTATCAACACGCATCTATCCTGCGGGATTCGAACCCAGTGCTTTTTGATTACAAAGCGAGCTAGCTCTTAGACCATTTAGTCACTGGGACCCTATCCAATGGACAAAACTAGGACGAAACAGCTGTCTGGCGGTACTCCCAGCTGATTTTCAAGTGCTTCTCCAACTGATATCAGCTCATGATGAAATCCTCCAACCAATTAAAGGAAATTCCTACAAAAATCAATACCCCAACCAATATTTATTGAAATATGGA